TTTGTTCGCGTTAGCGACCCTGGGGGGGCCACGGGGCTTTATTAAAAATACAAGATCTCTGAAAAAAAATCAGAACAATTATTTTAATGTACAAATTCAGTCGCTGTAGCAGGTTTTCATATTTTTAACTGGAATCCTAAGAAAACAAAACAAAAAGGGGTGGGGGGGGGGAACAGCCCTTCCGACCACTTTATTTGATCCACGTAAAACAAGCTCTGAGGACGGCTGGGTTCTACGCCGCGACGCGCGCACACCACGAGGCATTCACAGTCCAACCGCGCACACCAACGTCCTAACTTTGCTGCTGAAATTTCTTAAAACTTACCAAACAAAAAGCTGATCAACACCCTGGGACCCAGCTGCGTCCCGGGTATCACGATTGTTAAAAGGAAAACGTTTCGTCTAAACCCAGAAATAGGTACGGACTACATGCAGTAGTATAAATTTCAAGGATGTATTACAAATACTCTGCAATTAATCTAGGGTGGGGGGGGAAACGAAGGGAACTTGCTACAGACACGATAATACACAATAAATTTAGATAATTTAAAAATAAAAAAGGCAAGAGGCAGCATTTCAGCAGCAAAGTGCTCAATAAAAAGTATATTGTAAAGGGACAGTACAAGGGAAGAGGGAGGCAGCAGGCGGGGAGGGGGCTCAGAGGAAATACGGTGTGGTTGTTCGAGGAGGAATTACACGTTCTGAATCTGGAACTGCGCGGAATAACTTTGGTTCTCTTGTATTTACATCTTTAAAGACCATGATTGACGCAATATTTCCACAGCGGTAGCAGTAATTTGGAGCAGACCATACCGTTACCAATTTCTCATCAAACATGAATTTATAGCCTTCGTGAACTAGCTGGTGCGCTCTGCAGATGAGCTTCAAGTTGTTGATGTGAACAAACTGTAAAGGAAAAAGGAAGGTCAGCTTTCTGCCCGCACGACAGTCCCCTCTCCCTGCCGCAGCCCGGGCACGCGCACACCGCAGGGTTCACGGGAAGCTTTTCGTCCCGGTGCACTGAAAAAAAAACCCCAACTGTTTGGGTTTAGAGACCCGAGTGGTGGGAAACACCAATGAAAGAGAGGTGGCAGCTGCGATGCCCAAGTCTGTGCCAAGGGCTCAACCCTTCCCGAGCACGCCACGGAAAGGCCACAGACAAAGCTCGGCACGAGCGTGTCACTCGTAAGGCAGCTAGTTCCGGAGCCCGGGAAGGCCAGCATGTTGCCCTGACAAGTCTGCTCACTGCTTCCCAAAGTAACAAAAAATTATGTCAGGAATTGTTAAGGAAAATGGTACACTATTTTTTTTTTTCTCCTAAATCCTCAGAGAAGTATTCCACACAAACCCTAGTGATAGTAGTTAGTATCACTGCATTGTACTTTTTAAAAGCAAGATCAGTATCACCACACTTGGCACCTGTATTTATGCTTTTAAGTTCAAATGAGTCATTTTTTTCAAGTTGGTTTGAGCAAACCTTCTCCACCACCACGACTTACTCGCTGTGGTCTTACAAGTTCATCACCTCACAGCACCCTTGACCCATTCATTGGTAGGGTTAACATCAAACCTGTAGCTGAACAATTTCTCTCAAACCCGCAATTTATGCTGCATACAAGAGCATCATTACCTCATTCGTCACCTTTGCACCAAAGAGCCAGCCTGCTCCTCGCGGGCTGATCGCCCACGTATCCACATCCTCCGGGTCAGACCAAACAAGGTCGCAGAAGGCGCCTTTGTGAGGAATTTCTTGATTACGTTCAATGGTTCGAATTTGATCGAGAGTCTTGATGTCTGGAGAGAGGCCACCATGCACACACAGAATCTGCTCGTCTATTAACTAGAGAGAAAAGGACACGTGCGAAATACTCAGTATTTTACTCCAGCCCAGAACACTACCAGTGTGACCCCTGAAGGTCACTAATTCTAGCAGTCACATTTAGACAATCTACTTGTACTTTTGTAATGTGGTGTTTACACTTACAGCCGCTATTGTGAGCATGTCAAAGACTTTGGTACAGTATCTCCAAGCATTAGCATTTCCATATTTGGTTTGGCACTCATCTGTTAAATAAGAGAATTTTTTTTCTTCTTAGTGGATCAGAAGGAATTCAGACAGTAAGATCAGAGGCAAACACTCAGAGCAGAACTCCAAAGTCAGGCGTACAACAAAAGCCCTGTGGGGAGCAGCGCGAGGGGGCAGAGGGAAGCGTTCTGTCCTCTGTCCTGCTGCTGGCCAGGCCCACCCGCGGGGAGGGACCGAGGCACCCGCTGCTCTGCCCTTACTGAGCAACGCGCAGGCGGTGCAGAGAAACGGGCCGGCGACGCGTCCGCTGCCTCCCAGGGCTGGGAGCCGACCCTTGGCGACACCGGCCGAGCACTCCACTAGCCAATTTTATGCAGCAGCACTGAGGCAGAAAGCGCAAACCGACCAGGGCCAGTGGAAGACACTCCTGCCACAAACAGGAGTTACAGGCTTTGTTAAAGCTACACGAAGGTGGCAATAAACCTGACGGGCAAGCGTTCCTTGTGAACATCTGTATTTGCTCTTGCTGACACATAATCCAAATGAAAGTATGTTACAGACCATACTCTTTGTGGTAGGCATTGGCCATTTTCCGGGATTTCCTCAGGTTTTATCAAAGCCTCACACAACAAAAAAAAGAAGTTTCCAAGCAATTTAATTCCCTCGGTTTTTCAAACAGTTGTTCTGCTGCTTATTTCTTGCTAGTGGCATTTCCCCCGATGCTTGCTGCTGACAATAATGACTTCCACAGCACACTTTACGTGTGACGCTGATTTTTAGTTATACTGAAACTTAAGGGGAATTGTGGCAACATGATGACTTTGTGTAGAACCTTTCGTTGCAAGATGCCAAAGCACATTCTGTATAAAAGTGAAAGCGGCACCAAAACCCAAACAGAAAACCCAGACGCTGGAGGAAATGAACAGCTGGATCTGGACTAAACCACATTCTACTCCACAGACACAACGATCACATTAACAAGCGATAACATTTAAGTTCTACTGAGCCCACTCCCCATCTGGTCCCAGGAAAGCCCCCGGCAGTGCTGCATTCAAAAGAGGCTTGCCAGGGGAAAGATGCTGTACTCGTTTATTACGCATTAGCCCCCATTCAGAAATCGTTTGGATAAAGACTTACCGTAAAATCCATATACTTGTGTTATCTGCCTGCTTTCATGATTGCCTCGTAACAGTGTGATACGATCAGGCCACTTAGCTTTTAGTGCAAGAAGGTAAGTGAAAGTCTCAAGACTATAATAACCTCTATCTACAAAGTCACCCTGCAAGTCAAAAAAATATTTGTAAATGAAGAAACAGTCATATTGAGAAACACAAAGTGATACATCCATTCTAAATTTCTCACGGTGCATAAAGAAAACTAAAGGCTGAAGGGAAGCCGGGATCTGCTTGAATCTATGAGAACACGTTCTCTGGTCACTCAGAGT